AGACGAGCAGCACCAACGACGAAATGGAGAACGAAACGACTTTAACGGAACGCGTAACGTTAAAAACACTGCACTGCTCAGGTTCGCGGAGTTATGTTACCAGTCGCAAATATGTGTCATCCATGCAGTGAGCACGAAAGACATGACACCACAGTGAATCTTCCCTGAAGGATCGTGACCCGTGTGAAGCTCACATGTATTCTGACCGGCTGTGAAACAACGACTGTCGGTCCCCCCCATCCTTCCGCTGTGCCTCAGACCGCGTTAAACGACCGACGCTGAAGGGAGGGGCCTAGGTGGTGGGGACCGGCTGCGGGGTGAGGGAGGAACTAGTCAGTGCTCACTAGGGAATCGGTATAGAGATATTCAACACGTTTGACTGGATCGCCAGGTTAACTGGTATAATCCAAAAGCATACTTATTATCTAAAATCCCGACACCAAGTTGTTTCAGTATTTTTACATATCAGTACGTACCTAAACTGCACCTGTTCCATGTAGCCGAGCTATCGTCTCGGTTTTGCGTTATGGTCAGTGATTAATAGTTTGTGAGAAACGGTTACATTGACACGCGCTCGGGCAGGAGTCAAATTGTCCCCTCCAGAGGGTTTTTCCAGAATGATTTCCGAGCGGCGCGGTGTAGCAGTGCTAAATTTTGCGTATGTGTAGAGAACTGAATACCAGATATTTTGATGCGAAAGAATTAAACGTGCCTTGTAAGGACGCTGACTAGGCCAGCACCCCTACAAGGTCAAGGTCAGGCCATGGCTGTCAGTGAAGGACATTTCTAAGGAATCGTTCAACGTGACGCAACAACCGAGTAACAGACAATCCATACGAATTTGAAATAGTTTCTTAGGCAATAAAGCGGTTGAATTAAGAATAACAACCAATTTCATTGACATGGGATAAGGTACAAAGGTCAGCCCTGTCTCAAAATTAACCAGTTCTTTTGCTCGAGAGCTTGGTTTATGGGATAGTTTCTGGTGCTCATTTCAAATTTATTAATGACAGGGACCGCAACAGACATGTTCCATCGACTCCTTAAAGGTCGGAGTGGTCACTGACTAAAGATGACCCAGGTCAACATTTTGTTTTAGGAACATACTTCCTACTGTAATTCCTGGCGAATGTTCGAATGACAAAATAGGAGCAATCTCGTAGGTATTTGGCCATCTTGACTATACGACAACATTTTGTTTTAATAACATACCGCCTAGTGTAATTCCTGGCGCATGCTCGAATGACAAAATAGCAGCAATCTCTTAGGTATTTGATCGTCTTGACTCCATGAAGGTCAAACAAGGTCTCTGATCTTAATTTAACCCCACTGACCTCTTGCTTACAACAAGCATATAGGTTCACGGCGGTTGCATGAGGAACCCCGGGGACAGTTGCGACGCCAAGCTGGAGTTTGACCTTGTTTGACACTATTCGACTCAAAGATCATGACCTAGAAACCTCAAATTTGAAGCCAAGTGAGCTTACGCACAAGTGAGTTTACGCAAGTGAGTTTCCACTCCCTCTGCCCCAAAGTTAAGAAATCTCCCAGAGAAAACCTTGATTTGACAGCAGCTCACGTCCGAACAGTGGCTGCCAATTCAGAGTACCTGCTGAGTATTGCTTGTTGCGTGTATTCTGAACCCAGCAACCAAGTCGTGCCGTCCAATTCAACGGATAATTTGGACTCCGCGCTTTCACCAGACAGAAATGCGGATGATTCTACGTGTTGCACAAACCTTCGAGACGGCCGCCTCGGGCCTAGGTTGACCCTCGTTAGCCGATTGCCATCTAAACTTCATATTTCAGTCGGATCAAACAATGCGTTCGCTCTGGGTTATGAGTCTAAATACTTTGAATGGGAGAAAGGCTCGGTCGGCTGAAATATGATGTGACCAATGCCAATATTTACCCAATAGGTAAATTGCGATGCCGAAGCAGTCTGAGTGGACCTGCGGAGTGAGGACGGAAAAATGTCTTCACTCATGGAAACTGTCCTCACTCCGTGCGTGCTTTGCGGACAACTGTCCTCAGCCCGCCGCGCTTACCCACACACATAAACAAACACAAACACAGACACACACACACACACACACACACACACACACACACACACACACACACACACACACACACACACACACACACACCACACACACACACACACACACACACACACACACACACACACACACACACACACACACACACACACACACACACACACACACACACACACACACACACACACACACACACACACACACACACACACACACACACACACACACACACACACACACACACACACACATATACACACACACACACACACGCACGCATGAACAAAAAAACAAACACGCACACACGCACATGCAAATGCATACGCACACGTAAATGTAAGCGTACACGTACACGTAAACGCGCACGTACGCACACACCCCTGTTCACATCATTTTTGGTTTGTGAGCACATGCGCCTTGAAGCTTGTTAGTGGGCGCAGGAAGAAAAGAGATTTATTAAAGAGAATATTAAAGAGCATTAAAGGGGATTATTTTCAAATACGTAGGGTCCCCAGCGTCCTGGAAGCATGCCTGAATGATGAAGAGCTGTTTTTGGAGACAAAATGAAAGCTTAAAATTAAACTTAAAATCTTAAAATTCAATGCACGTTTAAGTGTCCTCGAGCTTTAATCCAGCAAGATTTGCTCCCAAAAAACACTTTTAAGCAGCTTTTTGGAGCAGTAGGTCCCCCAGGCAGGTTTAAGAGAAATGTTACACCTGTAGCAACCGATCATTTAATACCAATGCAAGATGCTCTCAAACGTTTATAATACAGCTTCACTAATATCGTTTGCTTCACAGGAGGCTGGCACAAAAACATTTTCATAGACGTGGGAGCGGGTACGAGCTCCTTGTGTGTCATGTCATCTCAACTTTCTCGGAATGCTAAGCAGTAATTTTATGACAACGCAAGAAAGTAACCGACTCGAAAGTTGGTTTTGCCCACCTCCCACACACACACACACGCATGCATGCAAACCTTTCAGACTCTCTAAAACCTACGTGCATTTTAAAAAAGACGCAAATGATGTTTCAAGCAAAGAACAAACAGCCAAGACATGGAAATCATCCCCGGAGCTGTCACTGCATCACGTGACCCATTATTTGACTTATCATTTGGGTCGCATGTTGCGTAGCGGGAACAATTATTTCGGCTGTAAATTTGTATGGGAATTTGTGCATTATGGATGCCCGCAACACAGCTTCCCCCACTACTCACAGAGCAGAAAAAAATTCTCTCGAACCTCGGCACTACATAGAAAACGCAACACATCAAAACAAATATTATCTCAATGTCAGCATGTGGCACACGAACGGAATCGTCGAACACACAATCATGCAGGTCTTATTTGGCTGGGGTCTCAATTATCACTGTTACAGTTTCCAGACGAATGCTATGGTTTTCTCATTAATTTTCACCATTTCTTCGACCCACAGGACGAATCGCTGCAAAAAACATCCTGAGCCCCACGGAGTTTGCAAAGCGTATAGTTTCAATCAGCACAATCAACTGTGAACGCCATTATTGACGCTTCATCCGCTTGAGACCGATAGCGCACCTGGCAATCAGTGCAGATTGTATTAACAGTGCAGGTAGCTTTTTTAAGCAGACGATCCACTTGACCATCTTCTATTCTGCAGGACCAGTTCCATTTCAAAAGGCTGGCAATATGTGTGAGAGCATACCTGTAAACACGGGACATACCGTATTTAAATATACGCGCATAACCGGCCAGATTGTAGAAGCCACCTGGCGAATAGACGGTGCCACCGTCGACGCGCAGAATAGATTGAGGGCCACTGAAAGGTCAGGTTTAAATGGGGCATGAACACGGGGCGGACAGCTCAGAACGGAGCTGGCAGGTCACGCAAAGGTAGTCCAGCGTCGGAGGCCAAAGGTCTATGCGGCGTTCAGGTGCTCGGCTGGGTTATGCGCGAACAACAGTTTGTAAATGTTGAATGGATGCGGATTTTCCCAACCAAATTGTCCCTGGTTTGGTTTACTTTCCAACCAGGGACAAAGCCGGAGCCAGTGATTTAAATTAGTCAGGGCTGCAGCGCCTGTCGGAAGCCCACAGTGCCTAATTGAGACCCTATGTTTGCAATGGATTCCGAGTCGGCCGGAGGCCATGTTCAAGGAGGCCGAAGAAAGCCTAGGGGGCCCACCGGGACCAACGATCCAGGGACCGATTGGAGGGCCTTAAGACACACAGGGCCCATCGAAGTCTTCCTCAGGGGCCCGGCCTGCAAAGACCGGCCTCAGCTGACAGTCAGAGAGCCCTTTGCGCCGATCGGGGACTCCGGGATGTATAAGGGGTATATATGTCGATCAGGCACCACCGAACAGTTGGCGGCTCCGTGCTGTTATTGGCATGAGCGCTCACCTCCTAACTTGCAGCAAAGCTGGGACCCAGCAATTTACACTGGTCGGGGCCCCTGTATCCGTCCGGGGTCACAGTGCTTGAAAGGGGCCCCTGTGTTGGCGAGGCCCCCAAATCGACAGAGGGCAGCTTTGTCGGTAACGGTGGCCCGGGGGGCCGCCGTTACCGACGATCAAGAGCCCGATTAGAGGGCATGAGCGACCAAAGGGTCGGAGACAGATCTCGTAATGAGTCCCAGCCGCCAGGACCGTGGCATGATATCAGTGAAAGGGCCTCTTGCAACGATCGAAGACCCCTGAGACAATGCGGGTGTCCATGTCGGGCAGAGACTTCCAACACAGAACAATTGGCTACTTGTCGGTCTGAGCCCGAGTGGCTCATTTTCCAAGCAAGGGCAAAGCCGGAGCCCACGATTTGGATCGGCCTGGGCTCATGAAACAAAGATCGGTGCCCCTGTGTCTCCACCCTAAGGGTGGCAGAATGGAATCTCGGGACTAAAGATCAAGGGCCCGAAGAGCTGGCCGTCGGTCACAATGCGGGCGGTCCCTTGCCCGCAGGACCGTGACCGCAAACGACAGTCAGAGGACCTCTTGTATCGATTGGGGACCCTTGGGGCAGTGCGGGCCTGTATTTCGGCCAGAGACCACCAGCACTTAACAGTCGGCTCGGCGTAGGTCTCAGCTCGGGGAGCCCATTTTTCAAGCAGGGACAAGGCCTGACCCATGATTTGCATTTGTCGGGACTCAGGAAACCGCAACAATGCGGGGCTCCTGTGACGGTTACAGCCAACAGCACCTAACGGAGTGTCCTGTGTCAGCAAAAAACGTCGAGTCGTCTAAGGGAGCATTTGCTGATTAAGGACGGCGACGGGTCCCCAAATGCCAGGGGGCCTCTCGCGGTCCAGGCCTTCTGACAATGAAAGGAGACCAAATAACGTATGATCAGTTCACATCAGGACAATGGAAGGGTTCTGTGTCAGTCAGGACCCCAGAACAGGACGGTGGGCTCTCCAACTCCATTCCAGCATGGACCCATTAAGCCGAACTGGGGTCTATGGCCTATGATTGGAGCACTTGCGGCGATTAAGGATATTGTTACATCAATGGGGGTTCTTGCGTTAACCCGGGGCAACTGCGCGGGTCAGAAGGCCTCCGCGTCAGGGAGAGGGTCATATAATATGTCATATCATATATCCTTCTAAGCCAATGTCATAGGATGTATCCCTCTAAGGGCCTCCGTATCGGCCAGGGGACCCCACTCCCGCGTCGCCAGAATGGTGGCCGGAAGGCACTCCGCGCTGGGATGGAATGGTCCCTCAGTCCTTGACGAGGAACAAGGATGAACCTAGTGTTCTACTCAAGGGCGCTCGTTGCCCGAAATAAGTGCGGATTTTCATATTGTTGAAAAGATAGGGTCGAAATGAGGTCAAAAATAAAAAGGTCAACCCATGATTGCCTAAAAACGTTCATGCTTTTGAAGAATTGATAAGTAAAACAACTTACATCAAACAGTCTTGAGCCTGCGCGGTCGCAATTTCAAAACAACAGCCATGACCCGCGTTACAGTCTCCGTACAACCTAACGGCGTTTGGTCGCTACGAGTAACGCTAGGTGAGGCAGCATGCGCGCGAGAACGACCGTCGTGAAATAATGCTTCGAAAATGTTTCAGAATGTATCCTTACCGTATAGAATAAGATGGTGTCGTTTTTGTCCTTTTTAATTTCGAGATTGTCATCTGGATAGAATAACAATTGCAGCAACGCAAAAATAATAATTCTCCTCTTACTCCTGCAGTTCCGCCACCGCATTTTTGTTCGTCCATTGGCCAACGCTCCGTGTCAGCCGCACAGCCAATGTCGAGCAGCCTTTGGAGCCTGCAACGCCGGGCGTCGAGTTTTTGGTTGCTAAGATTTGCTAGCGTGTGTGTTCAAAACTACGCTACATTATTTGCACCACCAATCGATTTTGACTGAATGCTCACTATTTCCAGACCAGCATGGGCTGGCCCTGTAACTACAAATCTTTGACTCATTTCGATCTTCGATCAACGTCCACGAGGTCCTCAAAAGAGTCCAAATCAAAATTCTGGCAAAGGTATTTAGTTCTATCGGCCTAAAAATATCCAAGACACAATTTTAAAACTAAGCGCCCCGGTAATTTGGTCCATGCTGTCTTTTAACGCCTCATTTCTTTAGTTTATTGCCTTCAAAATTTAAAACAATTGATCTCCTAGTAGCTCTGGGGTTCCGTTTAAGTTATGTAAGGTAAACTGCTTATAAAAAAGAAAATTGGGCCCTTTATTAACAAGTGGGCCATTTCCACCGATATTTTTTGGGCGGGTCTTTCAACATCAGGGCCTCTTACTCAATCCGGAGCCGCCCAACCCCCCTTTGCCCAGGCTCTGGCTGTGCTGCTGTTGAGGTGTCTCCCGACATAAGGCATTCCAGTCTTTTCACATATTTGAAACATAAACTTGCATTCTGGAGGCAGCAACATGGAAGCGTTAGTTACCGCTCTTTCCGCATACACTGCTATTGGAAAAATGGAATGCTCCATACCGGTGCGCCTCCGCGTGAGACTGCTGCATTTTTCGTGGTTCTGGCACAGAAAAGGCAGGGTGAGGTTTCTAAAAGAACAGAGTTTAAAAGTGCACGAAAGAGTGATCGATGCTCCTATGTTTAGCGGAAACCAAATCACACAACTCTTCACAAATGCGTATTCTTATTCACTCCTTGTATTTACCTGACGCCGTTAGCTTCCACGATTACCGTCACGCTGTCATCACCAGCACTACCTTCAAAGGCAGCCGTATCGTCGCGACCGCATCGTCGCGCATTCTCGCGCTTTAATGTAACAGACCTTCAATGTGGATACATTCATACGCCGCGCCACATCCGGGAACATCCGCGAGTCAAGTATGGCAGACGTGGGCAGTGTCTGCCATCATACTCTAGACACTCTGTCACCATCTCACCACGCGGCACGCACAATGTCCTTAAAGCTTGGTTGAACTTCGACATGAATTTTTGATGGTTATTTGCGATGGCGTGACTAAAAAGCTGCACAGAAAATATGTACGTGTGTAGGTGTATGGCGTACACGGTGTATGGCGTACACCGTGAGCGGCCATTGTGCTCATCGTGCATTTATTGCTTAAACGGCTATGTTTTGCTATGATGTGGGTGTGGGTATGTGTGCGCATAGACTAGCCCTCAAATGAGAACATTAAAAAGATCCTGTCCATTTTTCGAAGGCATTTCCAAACCTCTTAGGTGGGCTTGTGTCAAGTTGCCTATCTGGTGTCAACTGGTATGATGTGGTCTTAACCTCTAAGTTTTTGTTGGTAGGAAACGGTCTTACGTTGGCCCAGGGACGATGCTAGTTATCGGAATGATTTTTGTTAACTTTTTGGCGAAAAACATTATCAAGATTTATGTCTCTTTTAAGCAATCAAGACTGATTCGGTACATCATATCCACCAGATAATCCTAGCGGGCTTCACAGGTGGTTTGTTTTGCCATAGAAGTTGGTCACGATCCAAATAAGACGCGAAGAGCTTAACAATCTGATGCGGAGAGCCCGGTTCTCACGATGACAACAGGTTTTACAAGCGCGGCAGACAACAATTATGAATGCTCGCTCGGATACTTCCGGACCTTACAGATATCATTCCATTTACACGCGAAAAGCATAACATCTGCACTCTAAGGTCTGTGTGTGCTCATAGTGAAGAAGCAGCGGCCGTGATCGTCGTGTACGCGACATAGCCTCTGTTGGCGACGCCTCACTACCCTCAACTCATAAATGCGTATCTGGCAAACGCAGAAAAGTATGAATGTGACGCGGTACCGACTACAATGATTATTTACTTTTATGCCGGCGATCGGTGCCATTTTTTGTGGCAGCACGTGTATGTGTTTCCTCTTATTGAAACCCTAAACCTTTTGCGCATCGGTAAACATTGCAGTTCCTAACGGCTTACATAAGCTTAAGTAACAACGTAGCCTTACTATGTGGGTGGTTCTAATTACTTTTTGGAACGTTGGCAGGACCGCCCAAGCTGGCGTGGATGATTGCGTGGCGCCGTTTTGGCCGCAGCGGCTGCGTACGTTACCGCGCGCCGGGCATCCGTGGCGTCAGAGGCAAAAGGTCTATTTGATGCAAGCTCAGAGCGACAAGGAACGCCAAGAGGCTGGGACATTACGTTTTAAGGGCCGTGCGGTCAGGTAAGATATGGGGCAGGCAGCGAAAGGCGTGGACGTGACTTTCCACAATTATAGGCTAAATTGGTATCTATATTCTAGCCACTTACTTGTACCTGAACTTTAACATGGTGCCTACGCAAGTTGCGAAACAAATATATGTAAAATCCCATAACCCCATCATTTTGGAAGAGAATTACGTACTGTGGGGAATTGCGGGCCTTGTTTCCGGACATTACACTGTCCATTTACGGTATTCCGCCGTGATAAATGCCAAAATGTTTCGGTGAGTTGTGCAAGCTTCCTTTCACTGCAAGGTATGCCTGTCCATGTAATTGCATACAGTTGGTTGGGGACTAGTTTGCTGAACACGCCAAGCGGTAAAGTGTACTGCGCCCAGAGGACTCCAGTCACGCGCGCGGCTGTGTCCCTGAGGTGCAGCATATGCCAAGATAGCGTTAATCTATGGCTTAGTATAAGCAAGAAAAGCTTTCAGCTCCTGGCTTTTTGTCGTAATGAGTTCAGAGTTTTTGTACTAAGTTGTTGACCTCCAATATACCAGGAGATGCTGGTTAAAGGACGTTATAGAGCAAAACATCTGTTATATTGACGGAGCTCATCAGTCCAACCTGGGCTTATGACCATGATCACGAGTGAAGAAGGTTGAGTAAGGTAAAGGAGGCGATTTTTTTAAAACTTGAAAACCAAGACACGTGAGTCAAGAAAATGCTCCAAATCTGTGCAAACACTGATACTGAAAGATGTCAAAATTGGTGTAGAACGACAACGTGATGCAGTATATATGAGACATATAACATAGATGCCATTCTCTCCGTCCATCTGGAACACAATCACGCACGTGCTCTGCCTGCTATGCGGTAAAAGGAAGCTCAACACTCCCATGGGAACATTTTACCGTGTCTGCAATGTCTGCATGATTTTCTTCCGCGTGTGTAAACTTAATTGGCCGTCTCACCAAAGATCCCACCCCATCGGAGAGTACACGTCTCATAGCATATGCTATACGTCTCACATCACGCATGCTATAAACCGCGTATATAGGTAGCACATACCATTCATAGCATATAAATCAGTTCACACCAACGCTTGCTCAGCAACGTGGTCCCGCTGCTGAGCAAACGTCGGAGTGAAAGCGGCCATCCAGCTGATCGCTTGCGTTTTTTTTGGCTGATCGCCAATTTTAGTAATGGTTTCGTCCCCCGAATAACCACCGGTTTCAAAGGCGTGCAGCCATGTATTGGGCGTTCTGCGGAAATAACTCATAGGATTTAACATTGTTTGACATCTTTTAATGGCAGTGTCTGCCTAGGTTTTAGCATTAGCAGCATTAGCAGTGTTATCT